AGTGCAGAGTATGGAGGGTGTGCATTTATCACTAAGTCCTGAGGTTGGGACCAAGACATAGTGTGCATTTATGGAGGATGTGCATTTATGGGGGGCGCATTTATGGAGGTCTGACTGTATATTTTTAATGATGCCAGTTAAAATTCATAATTGTAGTCATTTGTTTACTAATTATTATCATTTTCATAAAAAAAAAGCATGAAAAGGACTCCTGGTTGATTAATTTCTTTTGGAAAGAAATTCTCAACAGTCATAACAAACAAAGAAAATTTCATGATTATGTTCAAGAAACTAATGTGAGTACTGCATATTTAATTCACATTTTCAATTTATCTTTCATTATGACTCAACTTTGTTCAGGGCTCTAATTATAACAATATTAACTTGACATCTCATAGATAAATTTTTTATCAGATCATGCTATTGAACACAATGATTATATAAATAAAATTGGTGGATTTAGAAAGAATTGTTAAAACATAATCTTGATGTAGGAACAGAAGGTAATGGTTGTGTAAATACTTAATAACTTGAATAGGATATTAATATTTTGAAACATTCTTCACAAAATATAGAAAATAATAGCAAAGCAAAAAGACTTCATGTTGTAAATCCACCATTTTCATCATCATCACTAACACCAAAACCATTGTCAACACCGACTATAGGAAAAAGCAATAATCAAAATCCTTATTGAAACTGAAACTGATGATGCTGTAATTCTAGAAGTAACTTTTTTTTTCTTATGATTTAAATGTTTGTAAACCTTATTTTAATAATAAACTTTAATTATGTTGTTAACAATTTAAATCATTCAGTCAACTGAAAAACAGGAAGAGGTTGAGGATAATAAAACATTTGATGAGGAAATGTATTCATTATTATATAATGAAGAAAATGAAGAAAGGATTATGAAATTTGTTGATGAAGAAAAATTATCTGAAGAGAACAAGCTGCCAGATACAAGTGAAAACAAAGTATTCTTTATTTATTGATTGTTACATAACTATGAACTTCAGAAGGCTTATTTTATATTAATGAAATCTATCCAAGCCCATTTTCAATAAACAGGAATTTATATCTGATTTCAGAAAGTACCAGGATAAGATTCCAAAATCTAAATGTGTAGTGAGATAAATTTCATGTAATGACTTCAAGAATAATGTTATTCTGATTACTCATATCTATATCCTACTATATTTTATAGTCCTTGCTATTGGGGCATACTAGATCTCACCATGGAATCACTTTTAATTGTACAGAGCTTGACCCCACAGTCATACACCAAGTATCTCAGGAATTCTCAAATCTGATCAATTGGCATCCTAAACCAGCACCAAAAGTCCTTCAAACTTATTTTGATAACAATTGTATAAAAATGGATGTTGATGAGTATGAGAATTTTCATGTGAAAATTCAGTATATGTAAGTGTTAAATAATTGTGATCTTGTTACAATATTATTATTAGATGAACCAACTTTATCTTTTTTTAACAGTAAGTCCAATATGAAGTTATTCAAAGATGCTTTGTCAGAAGATGAATTGAAGTTCACTACAATGCATCCAATATTTTGTGGTGTAATTAATTCTGATATAATGAAAGACAAATGGTAGTAAGTCTTGATGCATTATTTTTACATAATATTTGTTTTTGTTTATAGAGGTGAAATCCAATCCTTAGCTACACAAGATGAAAGGAATGCAAATAACAATCCACTCCAAAGAAGTAAAGTTGGTAGTGTGAGATTGTAAATGAGGACCGGAGAAGTCCCTAGCATGTCGATCAATCGGAACCAACTTACTGTGTCAGTCACGTGATAATGACGTCATTTTATATTTTTAATATTTTGTGTAACAACTGCACCACACATTGCGTCGTGTTACACATGTAGATCATTACATCATTTCTATTTTTAAATTATTTTAATTATTTACTTCAAATTATTAATCAAATTATTTGTAATAGTGACTCATAGGATTACTCATTATGAGTCATAGCATTAGTAATTAACAATTAGTAAGCTAGTATTACAGAAAATAGGATTAATAAGCATATTTTATTGGACAAAATATTGTAAAGGTCATGTTATTTGTAATACCTCAAGAGGTATAAAAGAGCTTGGTTTTAGACCAAGTGAGAATCATCATGCTCATGATACAACAACAATAATAATATAATAACAACCTTGTAACTAATATATTATTGCTAATAAAACCTTTATAATAAATACCTGAACCTTAAATAAAAATCTTTAATACACCTTTGCTGGGAAGCATTCCTCACCCTAAATTAAGACCATACTAACTAAGGGACGCCTTAGCTAGACAGTGGAATATTTACTGATCATTTTTAGGCTTTTGCCAGCAGTACTTTATATTAGTACTGTATTTAGTATTAGGTCCATTTGGATTACCTGCAGCAACCAAGAAGAAGAAATATGTTGATAAGATAAAACTTTCAGTGATAATGAGAGATGCTTTAAACAAAATTTTAAAAGGATGGAATTTTGTATCTGATGAGCAAAGAAAGAAATTGGTTGTTTTTGGTTGGACACAGATAGGTATGTTTGTTCTTCAATGCATTATGTAGACTTCATTTCCAAGTTTTATTAGCTGAAATATTTCTCCTATACAGGATTTGAAGTTAACATTTATGGAATGACATGGCATGGTGATGGTATTTACTTCTTTGGTTTAATAGACAAATGTATTTTACCATACAATGAAAATGATTGTGTGTTGTATGAGGATATTTATTGTATTCTAAAAGAATTTGAGGTATATTGTTACTTTTTATTCTACTACTATAGCAATTTATTTATAAACAATCAACAACTAATTTAACATAAATAAATTATCAGAAACTGAAAGTGTAGCACAAAAATTGCATGTTTTGAACATAAAGGGAAAACGAAGAAATCTTGTAACTGAGAATATTCCTATTCTAAATGTGAATAGATCTCCTAAATAATAACATTATTTAATGTTATAACCAAATTTTTATTGGATATTTGAGAATTAGTAGTTTTAATTATTTTAGTTTACAAAGGGAATTTTATAAATTGCTGAATAATTGTTTTTCAAAATTTAAATTTCTTATTAAAAAAAAAGTAATGGATTCCATGGTCTGCTAAATTTTAGTTTAATATAAATTTTGATCCCTGAAATTCTTGGTAATACCAGTGTTCACTTTGTCTGGTTTTGTTGCAGTATGCCCAAATGCGTGTAACGCCGATCTATCCATAAAAGGATTTTTATCTATGCTGATCAATATAAGCATATAAGCGTTATATATATTAATATGCTTTTCTTATAATAAAAAATAGAACAAACACAACAAATTTGAATTCATTTATCTATTAATCATCTAATTGCTGTAAATCAGCATGTTTATCCCATTCAACCATATCTGCATTTTCATCCACATTGCTTTTCTTGAAAGTGGTTGATATCCAAGATTTAATGCTTTTAAAAAATTAATGAAAAACGGGTTTTCTACAAGGCGGAAAGGTAACGCACATATAATAAATATCATAACTAAAGCTTTATCGATTGTTTTATGCGTGATTCTTCTAAATCAACTGAACAAAAATAACCATCAATATGACGTTTCCAGAATGTTCAAGAGGTTTTCCTTGTTTAGGAAATGTTGACTTTGTAAAATCAATTCATTTACTTCATTTTTGATAGTTTCAGATGCTTTTGTACATTGAGAAACATGAGAATGTAAAAGATATGGTTGGGCATCTTAAAGATGACAAACATGGCTTACATGTAACCTGGTAATGTCCATTACCAAGATGGTTACCACCTGTAAAATATTCCCAAATATCACTATATTTTTGACCGAGTTTATTTTTGTTATCAGTCATCTTTGATTATTATATTCGTGGGAGAAAAAGAAATGATAATAATTAGAAAAGTAAGGATCATGATCTATTTTTTATTTGTATAACAAATATTACAACATTACAGTTAGCTGCAACACCGTAAATTCTGGCCCTCCAATGTTGTATTGTTGCAACACGAGTTGCAACACCGTAATACCGTAATTTTACATTACGGGTGCCAACTCTATTCTCATTCCACTTTACCACCCTTCTCAAGAACCTATACACCTCACAAGCCATTAACACCAGTCAATATGTATTGGACAACATTTCTTCAACGTCGAAAAGATCCAATGGGAGTCTCTCCTGGTCAGTGAGATCTAACAAAATAATTGGTCATTTACTATGTGTTTTCCACTTGTTAAACTAATCATAAACAACTGTGATGAATAAAATATACAAATTTATTATTATTTAATTAATTATTAGATATATTCTTATTAAATTGTGGTTTATATAATAAAATATTATTACAAAAATTATAGAAATAAAAATTACTTTTTTTCTTTAAACTAGAATATCAACTTATGCCTCTCATAATTTTCATATAATGATTGTACTTTACAACAACTATCTTTTCACTTTTTTGGCTTGTTTTTTTTTTTCATTATGAAGTTCATTATATTCTTTTAACAATTTATTTTTCATAATTTTCCACGCTCTTTCTGTGAATGGTCGTGGTGATTGAGGCTTATCACCATATAACGAGGACCTATATGTAGGACAATCTTGAAGAATTTTCAAGTCAATAATCTGATTGCCGTTTACATCTGTCTCTTTAGTAAATTCAGTAATTTTCTCTCGGATTTTTGAACTTCTTTCTTGTCTCAGTTTATCGTTTTCTTTTTGTTTATCTAAGAATGCCGTATTGTAATCTGAATTTCTTCTAGCGATTTCTAACATCTTTTCTTTACCCTCATTTTTCTTTTTACGAAACCATTCTGATTTCGATTGACTCGGATCTTTTATCATTTCCAAATATTCATGATTGGTTCTAATAACATCATCTTTCCAGTATAAAGATATGAATCTAGTACTATGAGGAAACCATGGCCTATAAAACCAACCTTGAATAAAAGGCAAACCTGAAACGATATCTTCAACATTTTGCTGATATTTTATAATATGAGTTCTAATATAATATAAACTATATAATTAATAATAATTACAGTTAGTAATCGATGATATTAAATTATAAATATTTAAATTAATGTACAAAAAAGTTTTTCCATTAAAAATTTAGTGACCTGACTGTTCTACTGCTTATACAATCTTTACAAGCCCTAACTGTAAATTCCCAACAAACTTTTCTTGTTTTATGTTTATTGCAAAATTGACAACCTGTTTCTACCGCTAATTTCACATACTCAAATTCATTCATTCCATTTAGAGGTTTCATTTTTAAGAAGGGCAAAAATGCTTCTCTAGAAGCTTTCCAAATTCTTTGCGTGGTAATTGAGTCTTTATCACATAGGTAATTATTAAAAATTTTACATACACAAGCCAATGACAATAAATCCCTTGGTGGAAGAAATTGACAAATATTGATAAACATTTCCGGTGGAATACTTTTGAACATACAAACTTTTATCACTGTCGGGTCATTGCTAGATTCTCCCAATTTGATGATTTTTCTTCCTCTTTTCTTTTCTTTTCTTACTTTCTCTTTCCTTTTTTTTACTTTTCGTGACATTTTGAAACAATAATAATAATAATTATTATTAAATTATTTTTTATTAGTATTCTTGCTAACTTGATCACAATGGGTGCCTTCAAAAATTATTATATTGAGATTGAGATTGAATACTTGATTGAATTGAAATTGAAATTTTCAATCCATGATCAAAAAATTATTTTATCAAGATGATCGACAATTATTAATTAAAAATGGAATTTTTATGTCTCTTTTCTTGAACTTACAAATACCAATGCTAATGATTTTAGTATTGATGTCTTTGTTTTTTGGGTACTTCAATATTTTCCATTTTTTTTTTTAAAAAAATTATTTTTATTTTTATTTTTATTTTATTTTGTTTGAAATTTCATATTAAAATTTGATCTCAATCTCAATCTCAGATCGAAATCAATCTCAACATGGAAATTTTTGAACGCAGATCGAAATCAATCTCAATCTCAATCTCAATCTTTTTGAAGGCGCCAATATTTTCCTTACTGTCAAGTTTAGAAATGATTTTGTGGATTATGATCCTAGCGGCCAAATCCTCATGAAAGAATAGAACTCTACAACAAATAATTTTTTCAGAAAATCTCATTATTACATTAGAATTAGAGACCTATTCTATCAACTAATAATGCTTTTTTAAAGGTAGGGCAGAAAGTGACTTCTATACTTTTAAAATTTGTGCAAAATTGAGGTCTTAGACAAAGCCAACTTCACAATTTTTGTTTTTTTTTTTTTATTTTCAGATTCATCAGTCACTGTTTTTCTATATTTTGTGATTTGGTATATTATTTTTATATAGACCGATGATACCCTACCATGTTGACTTTTATTTAAGACTGACATTTTGAATTTAAAGTTTTTCAAGAAACATAGATGCTTATTCAGGACATATATCATCATGTGTCAGAAATATTTAAAATTTTGAATGAATTTTTATTTTCTTAACTTTCCTTAGATATAAAATTTGCATGTAAATTTTTGCTAAAGCTACAAGACGATATAAACTATATAAACTATTTGTATGCTTAAAAATGTGCCTGACTTTGGATGGATTTGCATCATTCACTTGCGAATACATTATGTTTTAAAACTTCAAAATCTGGTGCAATCCATCTTGTTGTCATGTAGTATATGTATGAGGCGGAAAAGGATGTTCAGGAATTATTTATATTAAAAAGAACTCATGAATTGCATCTTGCACTTTGTGTCAAAAGTATTAAGATGAAGAGGAGAAAAAAGGAACCTAAAAGAAACTACAAACTAGGTTCACCACTTCAACATGGTCGACTTTACTATTAAAAATTTTATTGAACACTTAGATATCTCTAAGTTTGCCACCAATTGCTGAGTAAAGAATAGATGGTGGGAATTAGCAAGATAAATAAGTGAGCTGAATTGAATTACATGTTAATTAATACAGTATAACCTGACTTTTGGAGTTAAAGATGGCAGTGGTACTGAGCACATGGATATTGATAGAGAGTCAACTACACATCATATTACCACCTCTTATGAAATTACATCATATTCTTTTAAAATCACAGTTCCTTATATTAACAAAGTCTTGCGTACTTGAAACTAATGAGTGTCTCTTAAAATTGGGACATGAAAAGCTATTCAGAATCCTGTATACTTTCAAAATAGCTCGGATCATATTGGAAATTAATGCAGCTCATAACATCCATCAAGAGCTTGGCCAGGATCTGAAGAACTTTGGATATTTCAAGTCTCAATTGAAGAGTCAACATAATTGGCAGCTTCATACAAAGAGAATATAGACAAAGCTTGGTATTGTAGAAGAAATTAAATTATTATATGCCAGAAAAGAAACTCAAAATAACTATCTTCATTATCATTATCATTATCATCAACTGTTTCAAAATTTCACGTCCTCATCCCTTTAAATGATGGCATAGAAAATATTGTACACTTGTGTGTAATGTTTCCAACAGACTAAATAGGCTCACACAATTCCCCATAGAATATAATAAGTGTATTCAACCCATCATGCATTTTATTCAAGTGCAACTACACCATAAAGCCTCAGGATCCTGATTCAGCAAATGCAATTGCTATTGCTGGTGTGTCCAGACTGCTCTCAGCTTCTCATTCCATTTTACTATCTTCTCAAAAACTTCCATACCTACACCAACCATCAATTTATACTGGACGTTCAAAACATTCTCAACATCAAAAAGATCCAATGGGAGTCTCTCCTGGTCAGGGAGATTTAAAAAATAATTGGACATTTATTATATGTTCTACTTGTTAATTATATATAATTGTCATTTAATAAAACAAAAAAAAAGTTTTATAAATAATTAGAAATAAAATACAAATAGTAATAATATCAAATAGTAGTAATAATGACAATAGTAGCATCAATAGTAGTAGTAATAATAGTAACAATAAATTGTGTGATAATACTTTATTTTATTTTCTATACTCTTGAATAACCTGGTCTTCCACCAGATTTTATAAGATTAATTAAATGGCTAATTAAATCCTAAAATTAAAAGTTAAAAATAGATTATATTTTAGTGAAAAAGAATCAAAATATTTGAATTGAAATTAATAGATTAAAAATATTTACCAAAGTCATTTGTGGAACACTTCTCCAAAAATCCCTATAAATCAATTAATAATATTTATTATATTTGCATAATTGTCTAGTGAATGATCTATGAATTAATTACCTGTGTGGAAGTAAATCCCACCCTTGTGCATTATAGATGTGGTGATTGTATGCTGCTCCCAATAATAAATATGATCCAAAAAATACAGAAACACTATCAACATAGGTGTGTGTATATATATATATATATATAATTATAATTATAATTTTTTTTTTTAGTATTATTTAATAAATATGTGATGGATTAAAATTATATTTTACAAACATTATTAAAAATATGGCAAATCCTCCAAGAGTTTTAGTATTATCAGGATTTTTAGTTCTGAATAAAAATAATAACAATGATGTTTAGAATCTAAAATAACAATAGATAATAACATAGTAAAGATAATTTACCCGCATGCTGAATGTGTTGTCCATTCTAAAGATAATACATTATCTTTATAACCTTTAAAGGTAATCGGGTTTTCCACTTCTTTATTTTCTTTCTATAAATTTTGAATTTTTTGAATTTTTTGAAGACAATTATTTAAAAATAAATAAGTTTATGCTTACATCACAAACAAATGTAATATTAGCTTGTTGTTGCTCTTCTTGTACAATTCCACCATGTAAAGTTATTTTCAATAAACCTAATTATTATTAATATTATTTGTTATTAATTGCTATAATTTGTTATTAATTAATAATTACCACAATTAATTAATCAATTTAACAATATAAATTAATAACCATGTAGATCTTCTTTGTTTTGTGATGGTTCTAAATAATATTTTGGATCTAGTTTCCTTTCTTCAAATTCTCCTGCAATAGATTGAACTTCTATAATTCTTTCATCTTTATCTTTGATATTAGTTATAATCTGACAAATATACGTCCCATTTGCACATCTATCTCCCTGTGGAGTTTTGTCATCATCTTCATAAGTTAAAGGATTACAAAGACTTATTTTTTGTGTTGTATTTGTTACTGATGGTGGTGTTACTTTCTTTTGAGAAATAGTATAAGTTCTAAATGCCGACAGAAAATCAAAGGATGAATATTAATGTTTTCACATATGCATACAAATATGTGTAATTAATAATTGATTTATAACTAACTTGTTAAGTGCGCTTAAATTAAAAATTATCCCATCTACTTCGACATATGAACAGTTAAAATCACCATTAACTCCGAGTAAATGATCATTTGTAACTAACAACAATATTATTATTGTTAGAATAAAAGTAGTAAACGAAAATAAAATAAAATTCATTTTTCTTTTTTTTTCTTCCTATTTTATTTATTATTATTATAAATAATTTTCTAGTAAAAAGTAATCTAAAAAAAGAAACAATTCGAATTTGTGTACACTACTAAAATTGTAATTTTATTTGTAAAATTTTAGATTATCAAAATAAATTTAATTGGCGGATATTGATATACATAATTTCATATTTAAACAATAATTTATAATCTTTAATCTTTTAAATAGCAAACAAAAGGATTATTTACATAATACACGAATATAATAATAAAGTTATTCTTCCTTTTGAGCATTTGGAATTGATTTTGTCAAGTTTTTAATTACGTTATTTGATTGAAATTTAGTAAATACTACTCCTGTTTTTTGTTTTACTACGTCAATTCCACTACACATGTGTGTATGTGTAGGCGTAAATATTGATTAGATATTATTATACACAAATATACACATAATAATATATATATATAATAGGTATATTTACTACTTACCGTTCATAATAGACAGAAGTTAATTTGTTTGCTTGATCTAATTTTTCATCAACTAAAGCTTTGTTTTGTAAGTAAAGTTTAGGTATTGCAAACCCAAGAACAAGTGCTACATAATAATAATGTGTATAAATAATATGAATATAAGCGATTAACATGATTTATCATTATATATAAATTCTTATAATAAAATAATTACCAATTCCTAAAATCGTATGTAAACTAAACCAAGAAGAAAGCCGCCATACGAAATAGACCAGAGATGCAAACTATATATGTGGTATGTAAATTTAATATAAATCAGGGATTTGTTTCATACTTGATAGTGATAGTTAGAAAGTTACCTTGGCTGATCTCAACGCATCATCCACTAAAACAATCTTTTGAGTTTCCACCGAAATGAAGTTAATTCCACAAATTACTTCATCAATATATTTATTCACCTGTGCACTTTCAACATACCAAGGTTTGTTAGCCAAATAATCACTGTAATAATAACAATATAAATATATCAATAATGTGTTATCTATAAATGATTTCATAAATATGTTTTTATATAATGCTTACTTATATGGATTAATGGGTTCTTGATTAAGTATTGCGTTTAATTGTTTTTTTCCAGCCACATAAATCGTATTCAATCCTACCAAAGAGACAAAAAGAAAACAAAATGTATCGAACAAAGAATAACATGATGTAAAAATGAGAATTGATAATCCAATTGCTAAGGCTGTGCCAGAATGTATAGGATTTTCCCAATATACAAGATAAGCAACTATTGATAATATTAGTATCAGTATTTTAATCATTAATGGAGAAAACATGAATATGAGTTTAGGATAGTAATTATTACCTTTAGGTTTAATATGTACAAAAGGATCTAAATGAAATATTAGAATTTCGAAGAAAAAATTAATTAATTGTTAATTGTAGAGAACTATTTTATATAATTTCTTGAAAATCAAACTTTACTTTTAATTTTCATTCCTTTAGTTTCTACCTTTGGTTCTTTCGAAATGTTTAAATTGTTGGAAATATTTGTTGTTGTTGATGATGATGATTTGTTATTTACAGGATCATCTTTAATTGATTCTTTATTACCTATGTTCTTTGGTGTTGGTGATGAAGTTTCTTGTACATCACTAGTACTAGCATTTTCATCAATTGCTTCAGTTTCAATTTCTTCGTTTGCTTTTTTATTTGCTTCAATTACTTCATCTTCCCTCGTTTTTTCTTTTTCCATTTATTATCAAATTTTTTTAATTTTTTGAAATATTTTATTTTTTGTAGAGAAAAAAATTTTTTATTTTTTATTATAAAAAAATTTTTTTCGGTGTTACTAACTAAACATATAGACAAAGAAAAGATACTCTCACACTATCACTCTAAAATTGAATAAAGAAAAATTCACTAAAAGAGAATTAATCACAGGAAAAAAAAGGTATTTTTATATTTTAATATTATATCATTATGATATTAATTATGATGTCGACAATTAATTATTAATGTTAGCGGGGGGGGCGTGAGCACTTCTTCTTCACCGCCACCACACCAAAATCGAAATTTATCAAATTTTCACGTGTAGGTTTTTTTTTACAAACAAAGAAACAAAGAAATAAAAAAATTCGCATTTGATACTATTATAACACGTTTTTGGTGCATTGGGAGACCGACTGTCGCGTGCTTATATTGATTTTTGGGGATAAGTATAATAACCCTGTAATGAATCACTATACAATAAATATTTTTTTTTCCCCAAATTGAAGTTTATTTTTATTAGAGTATAATTGTGTACAATATAATATTAAAATACGACTATATAATGAAAACCAAGCATATGTATTAAAAACATTCAATAAAGAAATACTATATATTAATTTTTTTATTTATTATAAACATTTTATTTCTATCAAGTTTCCTTCCCTCTGATATTAATTTTTGCGTGATATCTGGAAGGGTGATCGTCACAAAATTTAGCCAATGAAATCAAATGTCTACTATGCCCTGTGAATATCATTCGGCGGATATAGACATTAAAAGACATTTAATAAATTGTTTGTCATAATCTGCATATCAAAAAAATATAAAGTTTAAACTCATAAACCTTGGTGATTTGGCCGAGTTGGTCTAAGGCGCCGCACTCAAGTTGCGGTCTCGAAAGAGGCGTGAGTTCGAATCTCACAGTCACCATCAAATTTTGACATTTTACTCATCTTTTTTTGTGTGTAGAGAAAAAATTTGACGTTAGTTACTATACAAAATAATTAAGGTACTCAAGACTACTCGGAATAATTTTTTGGGTATTATATATAGCATCATGTGTACTTATCATCGCAACAATTACTCATGGATGGATGAGAACCATAGAATTACGTTTGTGAGAAGGCAATATAAATTAAAGAAATATAATTATATAATGAACTGTAAATCTTTATTACAAAAGTCAATCCTTGACAAAATCACTGATAACATATCAAGCTGTAAAAATGAAAAATAGATATGTATTCTCATTATTTACTCAAAAATCATTTTTGATGGTATAAAAGTCAAAATTATTTAATAGAATCTTTGTTTTTTTTTTTTTGTCATGTTAAGTAATTTTATTAATAATAGGAACATCATACATATTGTTAAATGTTACAAAATTAATCTACAACCTACTTAACTCACTCTCTATTTTACATTGAAATAGAAGAATGTGACATTACCACTGTATTTAATAGAATCTTTGATATAAAATGTTTCTTTCTATTTATGTATTTTTATTTTTTTATACATTTATTATATGCATGTTCAATGTTAAAGATAAATTAATTAAAAAAAAAAAAGAAAAATTACTTTTTAAAAAAGCTTTATAAATAATAATATCACTGTTACTATAATAGTTGTGTGATTCTAATACATATGAACAAATATTCTAAGAAAATTTGAACTAAAATTTTGAAATTAATTAAATTAAATTAAATAATAGTAAATAAAATCAAATATATTATTAATGTTATTATCATCATAATAAATAAGATTGTTTTGTCTTAGCTCCAAACATCTTCTTGATATCGTCCACAACTTCTTAAATCTTTAATATAAGTTATTGCACTACCTTCATCCATTCCACCAATTTTCTGTGCAATTCGAATTAGTGAGGTATTTACATCACGTGCCATATTTTTAGCATCACTATTTGGTTTGTAAATTAATATAAATTTATAAATATTCATATATATAATACATATTTTCACATTGAATAAGATTTATAATGTCCATATTCGTATATTTACTTACCCACACACATAAAAATATCCACCATGATTGTAAATCAAATCCCAAATATATTTTTCTTGCTCTTGTAATCGATGTTGTACATATACTTTGCTTTCCTTTAAAAATAAACAAGAATAAATTTTAATTGTAATGATAATATATCAATATTAATATCATCAAAATATATATTATATTAATGTTTATATATTTACCTGTTCTCTTGAAAATGCTGTGAATAATTTCCCACTATCACCAAGTATATTAAATAATTCTTCAAGCTCATTTTTATATAAGAAATCCTCATTAATTTTTCGACAACCAAAAAATAAAACTGTATCACCAACATCTTCATCTTCTGATTTATATTTGGCTCTTTCAATAACAAATCCTCGAAATGGTGCTAAACCTGTACCAGGACCAACCATTATAACTGGTATTTTAAGATCTTTTGGTAATTTGAAATTTGTATTTCTTACATGAATTGCAACTTTGATTGTGTTTGAGGATTCATCATAAAATCTATCTCTAGGACCAGAATACAAATAATATGGTGATGCTTCAGGGTGTTGGATGTTTTGTAGTTTACGATGAATTTGTAGGAGATAATTTGTTGCAAGTCCATATACAGATTTTTGAGATAATGCAGGTTTGAATGATAATACTGATGCTGTTACATGAATGGATGAAGGTGTTGATTTAGGTGTACTAGATATAGAATAGTATCTACATTGTAATTTTGGTAATGTTTCAATAATTAAATCTAAAGGAATTGTATCTAATTGCTTTCCTTTAGGTGAAATCAATTCTAATACTTCTCCAAGTGTAAGATGTGCATCTAAAACTTCTGCTTTGTATGCATCTTTATCTTGACCCAATGTGGTGAGCCTAGATTTTCCCTCCTCAGTTGGAGCATAATTTGCCAATGTTGCAATAAATTGACGTGATGCTGGTGCATGGATATCAAGATAATTTCGAAATATAGTAGCATATGTTGTTGGAACAGGGAAAGGGCTCTTTTTTGATGCAGATGCTGATTAATTAATTAATGGATTGGCTATGGTTAATTGGGAATTTTTTTTTAAAAAATAAAAATATTATTTATACAAATTAAAAATAATGAATGATACATACGATCAGTACTTTCAAGATTTATTATAGTATCTTTTTTTTCCCAAAGACCTAAAATTTTAAGTAATCTATAGACATCTTGTTCAGGATTAATTGGCCAAATAGCAACATGATCACCTGATTGGTATGTAAGCCCGGATCCATCTATGTCCAATTCCACATGAAGACAATTACGATCTAATGAATTAAATAACTCACGGGTGTTTTGAATAGTAGCAGGAAATGGATTTTTTGCATCATAAGTTTGGCCACTTTAAAAAAATAAAATAAGTAAATATATCAACATTAATGATAATAAAATTAAAATAAAAATAAAAATAAAAATCATCAATATTGTACATACGTTTCATTGGCCATAATAGCATGTTCACTAAATTCACCATAATACACTTTATTGGCATCATAATCTTCTAATTCTGTAATCTTATAGGCAGCAATTCGTGAACTAATATTATTGTATAGATATAGTGAAGATTAAATAATTAAATAATAATAACAACCATAATTATTAATATACCTCGTGTGTAATTCACTTTGATCAATATTCATTGCATCACAAACAGCTTTCCACATATCTTCTTTCCATCCAAGAAAATCTTCTTCTAAACTACCATCATCATCGCCTTCACCAGCTTGACCAATCTTTTTAGCTCCAAATTCGCTTAACTTAGCATCAATCATCCTCCCAACAGCATTATAATGTTCATAAGTTTTATTTCCTAAACCAAAAACTACATAACGAAGAGTTGACAATGGCTTTTCATCAATTGGTATACCATTTGAGAACTCTGGATTTTCTGTAGTTATTAACTCCCAAAATTCTATTGCATCGTCTGGTGGTTCACCTTCACCTAAATTAAAAAAAAATTTTTTTAATAACCGCATAAAATGATATATGTAAATGATATAAGTATATATGAATGAACAATAATTGATTTACCATAAGTTGCAAACAAAAAGAATGCTATACAATCTTCTGGAAATTGATCAAGAAGTGTCATATCACAATCTTCAACATCAATCACCATAATTTTCAATCCAAATCTTTGTTGACCTTCTTTTGCAAGACGTGAAGCATAATCTTCAGCTGTACCTGTTTGAGATCCGTAAAAAAAAATCGCGTTTTTATCCTATAAAACATAAGCCGACGATGATTGTAATGATTATAGTTTTATAATTTTTTCAATACTCAAGAGTAATATATAATAAAACATACAGTATCTTTCATTTTTTTAAGGAAATCTTTGCTTTTTTTTGGTTGAGTAGAAACAATCGGTTTACTGACAGGGACTACTGGAACGGCTTGTACAGGTCTTTCATTTTTTCCAAATAAAGTATCTCTGAATAAATAAACGAATGCTCCAGCGGCAGCTAAAAGTAAGAACACAAGATCGAAAATGTCTATAAAAGGTTCATCAGCTTGAGTATTTGTATCCGCATCCATTTTGTCTTTTTGTGATTTGGTGTTTACTTATAAATCTGTCAGATTTTTAAATAAAGTTCTTTTTGCTGAGTTTTTTGGTAAAATTTAATTGGTTAACGATGGTAAATGTGTTAATAAAAGAATAATTTTTTGAAAAAATTTGTTTGTATGAAAGAAAGAAAAATCTTTTATTTATTTAAAGATTTTTTTTTGTAACACGTTCTTCTATGAAATAATACGATTTTTCAAGTGTCGGAGTAATTACTATTATTACTATTACTGTATTATTACTACAATAACAATAAATCATAATGATTTTTATTATTCACCACCTTAACAATAGTAATAGTGATACATTAAATTTATTAAATTTAAATTTAGTATTGACTTTTTAATACATATATACATACAATGAAAGGGGGAATCATGTGACTATAGTGCGCGCCATTTAAGTCATCAAATGCTGCGTCATTATGGTTTGAATTAAATATTAAAAATTTTTGATGTAGCAAGAAAATGGTGCACTCCGTTTTTTTAATGCTTCTTAAAAAATGCTACAATCATTTTTTTAAAAACGCTACATGTTTTTTTATTTCATGCTGCACACGTTTTTTAAAAATGCTACATATGTTTTTATTTATTGTTTTTTAAAAAATGCTACACGTTTTATTTGATGCTTCTTGTCATTTTTTTAAAAGGTACATCATTATATTTAAAGGTTGTATGCTACATTTCATTCTTTTAAATTCTACTGTCATTCTTTTTAAGATGCTGTGTAAAGTTTTTTTAAATAAAAATTAAATATAAAATGAATAAAATTATTTTTTTAATTAAATTTAATGATTAAATATAATGAGTGAATCACAGATCCAATTTCTTGATCATGCACAAAATGTTCAAACAACAAATGCACTATTACAATCTGAAGAACCTTGTCACAACGAATTTTGAAAAAATTTTTAAAAAAACTTGAATTTATTAATAGAATCTTGACGAACAACGTGGTAAAATTTTTTGATATAATAATAATTACTAATCGCGTTACAACGAATTCACGTGATAAATGATCAACAAAAATAAAAAATCGTACGATTAAAAAAATCACACAATCCAACGTTGTAAAACGTTGAGATTGAATCATAATTTAAAAATTATAAATTATTTAAAAATTGTATGATTGTTTGTGATTTAATTGATGATCCGCGAATATGAGTGAGTCGTCGTGTAACAATTAGGTTTGTATTCACGGATATATAGAAGTTTGCCTAAACTAAAATGTGATAATGCCGAAACTCGGAAAAAAAAAGGTTGTAGAAACTAATACTCCGA